AAAAAGTGCAAATGTTGTCCAACAGCGATTTCTGTGTTACAGCAGGTTGTTGTGAATTTTAAACATGAACTTTTATCATTATTCCATCATTAAGAGATCATCTCATGCCAAATTACTTCTTTTTTTCCTGATACTTTTAATACGAATTATTTCTTTCTGCTGTTATTCAGACGGTAGTTTCTGTTTTGTTGGTATTAAAACAGTTTAAATCGCCTGTAAGGAGGCGATTTTAATGTTATTTTTGACAGCAGTTTAAAGTCGTTGTAGCTGAACACAAGCTCCTCTGAGCATCGACTGATGATTAATCTGTTAAAGGAACCAAATCAAATGATCTGTAGTTCAGGTTCTAAACTAGTAACGGCAGCAGCTACTGAAAATTGATCAAGTGTGCCGAGTACAAATGAATCCATCGCTTCCTCCAGTTAAAAGTTGTGGTTCGTGTCAGATTACGGCATTTAAAGGCATGTTTAAGAGGGTTCTGCCACGCTGGAGTGGAACACATGCTTCCTCTGGTCCTGAAGTGAATGACTGTTCACCAGCAGAACTAGGAGCTGCCTCCTTATTTCTACCTGTACCTGGACAAAGTCAGCCAGTGTTGTCTGGACTTGTAAACGGACCTTTGGCCCGGCGTATAAATGCCGTCATTATGGTGTGCACATCTGACCTTTAGAGGCTTGACCTGTGGTGACCTTAGATGGAGAAAAATGGAATTTCAAGAGGGTGTCAGATCAATGAACTATGTGATGTTTTAATCATTTCAAAGAGCTGCAGGACAAAAAAATGCAGATGTTTTATGGAAACTACTGAAGTTAAGACGAATTTCAGAGGCACGTTTTTATTTTTTTGTGAGATGTGGAGTAATGCAGAACGCTTTGGTAAAGACTTAAAAAGCTGTAAATGCTTCATATTTTTTTGGATTTCTTCCTACCGACTGAACAGATGTCTTGCACACCGGTCATCACTTACCTTCACTTAAGTAATAATTAGCAATCAGCTTTACAGATTTCAGCCGTTTAACAGCCGGGATTTGCGACAACAGAGGTCGTTAAGTGTCTCTCCAATAAACAAGAGTCACCTCACAAATTCTGTCAAAGTCAAGGTGCCAGAGGTCATAAGGTGAATGTGGGGGAGGGATTGGTGTCGACTGCTGTGCTTTGTGTCGGCAGCTGGTTTGACCGTGTGGAGGCACGAGGTGTGGAAAGCTTTCACCATCACCCTGCTTCTAACCAAACAGATGTGTCAATGCAAGCTTTAGTCAGCCGGTGTTATCATTTCAAGAGAGGGTAAATATTGGATAAGATAAGGCTATTGTCTGGCTTTGTGACATTTATGCTCTGGTTTTGGTAATGAACAGGTGGGGAGAAGTCAAGGACGGACTGAGGGCTTTGATAAACTGGTGGCAGTAGATCATCAGCTCGGCCGCTGATTAAGTATCTGTGAAGGTTGAGCCGTCGGGATGGAGCCGTCGTTCAAAGTGTGTTGGGATGTGCTCAAACAGCAAAGATGGGGATACGAGAGCACATTTTCAGACAGTTTCTAATTAAATTGTATTTGGTTATGAAGAGTGACAGAAATAGTTATGTAGAGAGTGTGAAAGCAGAGTTCATCCTCGGGCTCTTTAGGGGGTACATGCTGTCCAGGCAGACCTATTTAAACCTCCTTCTGCTGCGATAAAACCACTGATATGAAGAGAAAAATCCACTCATGCCAGCTTCTACACTTTAGTACATCTCAGGAGCTTAGAGTTCCTGAAGTATTTTATTTTCTTTATGGACTATTGTGGACCAGAAACCAATTGGGGAAGTTTTGACAGAACTATTGAAATTATGCATGAATCATAAAGGTGGGGACGGAGGTG